ATGGGGGGGGCGACGCAGGCCGATATCTGCGTGCTTGTTATATCGAGCCGCACCGGCGAGTTCGAGACGGGCTTCGAGAAGGGCGGCCAGACGAGGGAGCACGCGATGCTGGTGCGCACCTGCGGCGTGAAGCAGATGGTTTGCGTTATCAATAAGATGGACGAGTGTGGGTGGAATAAAGACCGGTACGACGAAATTCTTGGAAAGCTGCGCCCCTTTCTGCGGCAGAACGGCTACGATGATGAGAAGGCGAAGAATCTCGTCTTCATCCCCATCGCCGGTCTCACCGGTGACAATCTCATCAAAAAACCGGCGGACGGTGTCTGCCCTTGGTACAACGGCCCAACGTTAATGAACTTCATCGACAACCTCGTGCTGCCCGAGACAAAAAGCGAGAATGATGTCCTCTGCATCCCTTTAGTCGGCGCGTACAAGGACGAGGGGCGCGTGTATGTGTACGGCAAGGTCGAGTCCGGCTCTATTGCGGTGGGCGAGAAGATACAGATCCTCCCCACCAAGTTGGAGGCGATTGTCGAGGGCGTCTCTATCGAGTCGACGGAATTCGAGAAGTGCTATCCCGGCGACAACGTGCATCTGCGAGTGCGTGGTGTGGACGAGAGCGACGTTCATGCTGGCTATGTTGCCACGTCAGTTCCAACGTCATTGCGGTCAGTTGAATACTTCCAGGCACGTGTGGTGATTCTTGACGTGAAGAACATCATCTGCGCTGGCTCGCGCGTCATGCTTCACGCCCACGCCGCGCAGGAGGAGGCATCGTTCCACAAGTTGCTGGCGAAGGTCGACAAGAAGACGGGAGAGGTAGTACAGAAGGACCCGTCCCACGTGAAGGCTGGTGATGTGGTGATTGCCCGCATGGAGTTGGAACGCCCACTGGTGCTGGAGCCGCACAAGGACTTCGACAAGATGGGCCGCTTTATGCTGCGTGAGGACGGCAAGACAATTGCGATTGGCCTCGTGATGAAACTCTACGAATCGACAAAGGATTCGCTTGCCAAGTCGGGCAAGGCATAAAAGAAGTGAAAGAAGGCGAAAAAGTCAGAAATGACACAAAAAAAAAGAAAAAAAAAAACAGAATGAAAAGAGAAGAGATGGACGAAAGGGAAGAAGAAAAAGAAGGAGACCAAACAAAAAAAAAATGGATGAGTGCAGATGGAGTGAATGTGGGGGATGGAACTATGTACTACCCCCATGTTTCACCTATTGCTCTGCTCTTCCCTCACCCTGTACGGTTTCTTTTTCTTCTCGTTCGGATTCTCCACGTTTTAAGTGCCACTTGGTTTCCCCTAAAGGGCCGTTTGTTTTCCCCGCGAGAGGCGCATGAGATGAAATGCGGAATATGCCATGGAGATCGGTGGGTGGACTGTTGCGGCAGGTGTTAAGGCTTTCCTTCCTGGCTTCATTCCCTGCTGCTGCGCGGTATGGCCGCGGAGACTCGTTGACATCATCCTGTTTTCATGTTTACTTTATTTCTCTTTGTTCTCGTTTTTCTTTTTCTTTTTGCTCTCTCCGTGTGTGTGTGTGTGTGTGCATTGCTTGCCCCTGACCAAGCAGCAAGAGGGATGTCGCTCCAGGCTGTTCTTCGCAGGGCAGCGCCGCTGCGGCACGTCACTCCGCTTCGCCACGGCGGCGGGGCGGCGGTGCTCATCGGTGCGCGTGGCATCAGCTGGAACCCTGCCAAGTGGGGTAGCGGTGACCCCATTGGGCGTGAGTCGCACCGGAACATCGAGGAAGAGCTGCCAGAGGTCTTCGCGCAGCAGCCGCTTGAAGTGGACGACTTCATTCGCCCTGAGCGCAGTGTCTTTGAACGACTCGAGGACTTCTGGGACTGGATCGTCAGCTTCATGCAGCCTGTTGAGAAACAGATGGAGATCATGCGTAGTCTGCGGCACGACGGCCTCCTAGGGTACGACTTTGGCACTTGGGGCCACGTGTTTTTCTTTTACGGCGTCGTCATGCGTCTGTGCACGCTGCTTCCCTCACTCTACAGCCACCGGAACGCGCTGCGGATGGGTTACATCGGGCCGCAGATATCGGAAATCACCAGCAGCCAAAACCGTGCCAAGAACGATCGCACACTTAGCACCGCCGAGAAGCGGGTGATAAAGGACGGCTACAATCGCATGAAGTATGCGCTGATGAAGAAGCATGGGTGCGCACAGTGGAAGAGCTTTCTCACAATGATTACTGCGCCTATTACAATGTCCGCCTTCTTTTCCATCCGTCGCCTCGCTGTGTACGAGACGGATTTGGAGAGGGCACCATTCCTCTGGGTGAAGGACTTGACAATGCCGGACCCGACGTACGGGCTGCCGCTAATCTGTGCGGGGATGTTCCTGATGAACTTTGAACTCAACCAGCAGATGCAGCGCGGCGGTCGCAGCTCCAGTGGCATTTACCTCCGCTGGGGGATGCGTGCGGGGTCTCTCGTTGGCGTTTACATGTTCGCATCGCAGCCCTCTGCCATGTTTGCGTACTGGATTGGGTTATCAACAGCGGGCCTGCTGCAGCCGCTGCTGCTGCGGTGGCAGCCGTTCCGTGACCTCTTCCACTTCCCCGACCCACCACAAGCGGCGAAATCGCAAATCATAGCGGAGGTGAATGGTCCGTCGATAATGGAGCGGCTGTTCGCCTCGAAGGAGGAGAAGACGCGACGCGACGCGGAGCGGCAGGCTCAGCGCGAAGAGCGCAACAAGAAGAAATTTGAGAAAATTGACGACTACGATGACGTCATCTTTGCTGAGGACGACAACGCGAGCAAGACAAAAAGGAGGCGCTAGCTAGCGGAAGGGAGAAGAC